TATTTATTTGTTTTTGGTTCATTTATAGTGTCTGTGCTCCTGAATCAGCCTCACCTGTCTCCCCCCTGCTCCTCTTTGAGGCAGCAGCAAAGACTAGTTTTAGCTCTCAACAAGTTTATCTTACCTTTTTTCACCTAGTTAACATTTTATTTGTATTATTCATGCATATTTTACTAATCACTACCCCCTCAAATGGAAATATGTGTTTACATAAATGGTGACCGAGCCGTTTGAGACCCACTGAGATAACTTAGACTAAGTTAACTATCTAAACACTCAGAGTAATTTACCTCACCTGAGGCAAGGCAAGGCAAGGCAAGGCAAGTTTATTTATATAGCACCTTTTAACACAAGGCAATTCAAAGTGCTTTACAAAAAACGAAAGACATTAAGAAAATGGCCTGAGCTGTAGTTATCAGCCTCTCAGTCTGACAGCAGAGGACTCTCACTCCACCTTGTTGTTGAAACAGCTCCTTATATCCGTTAGCGCAGCTAGCTAGCACCAGATGCTAACAACAATACATGTAATCGGTGCGCGCGCTTTCTCGCTCGCTCGCGCCACACATACACACACACCCTCCCGAGCTTGAATGACACACAGAGACCAATCGAGAGCATTAGTATGATCTGTATGAAAGTGGCCATGTCGGCCCAATTCAAGCACTGGTATTAACCTGTTAAGTCCCGAGCCTGTTTTTCAGGTCTCAGGCTCGAAAATGACATTCCCAGAACAAATGACCATATCTTCCCTTCTAAAAGGGTTACATTAATAATCTTTTTTCTCAAAGCAAGGTTACACCTGTGAGTTGGATGTAGAAGTGTCAGAATCAATATAGATGTTTTTATTTTAAAGTAAATTCAGATTGAACACAGTAAAAAAATGTAAATGATTGTGTCCGTCCAAAAAAAAAAAAGTACTTATAGTGAAAACCAGCCTTGAATGATGGGATGGTAGACTAAAAGCTATAGGAATCCAAACTACAACATATAATAAGTACCCTGTATCAAGATTGATGCAAAACAAGTGAAAAAACCCATTTGGGTGGATTTGACCTATCTCTGGCCCCCCTTGCTCGATTTTGCTGATTGACATCTCTTTCTAACCGTCAGAGCCAATGGAATCGAGGGGAACTCCCACATACTCCTTATTTGGTAATGTGTGTGTGCGAGACTGCCGCATAGCCAATACCGGAAGCTGCGATAACTCTTAGCGATAACTTGGAATTATGGATTATAAATTAAAAAAAATATTACCCAGAAACATTATCAACCTATGGATTAACCGATTCAGCTGCGTTTTTTCTCGTTTTAATGCCATTGAACACGTCTTTTGATCAGATTGACAGCTACGGTGAGACGATCTCCCGTAAAAGCTCCGTAAAGGTACGTGTTGTGATGTCTGTGTTTGCTTCCCCTGTCAAGAGTTCGGATCACTCAGTGATGATATATATACCCAAATAATCTGTGGAACCTCAGCTTTAATCGGATATCTTGTATGTGCAGCTACGATAAGTAATAAGGGTATCTTTTATCTTGAGTTCTGTGCCAAAGTGCGTTAGCATTTTTCGCTCAGGGGTCATTTAGATGCTTCTTATGAGACTTGTGTTTTGTTTTGGTAAAAATGGTTTGTATCGTCAGTTAGCTGAGATTATTCCCGTTAATCTGGTATAACACATTAATAGGTTCTTAAATATTAAGATCCCCTGGCTGAGACAGTGTCGTGAAAAAAATAAATAAGTACCCGCCGACGGGGACCTTGGGGCTTAACAGGTTAACAGCCATTGCTGATGATAAAGATCTGAGTAAGGGCTCTGAGCATCTTGAACAAATATCAACAAATATATTTTATTAAAGGTCCCATGTCTTGCTTTTACGGTTATTACCCGTCCCCTTGTGTGTTATGAAGGTTGTTATGCATGTAAACGGTCTGCAGAGTCAAAAACCCTCAAAGTACAACTCTAACACAGAAAAGACTATGCTGCCCCAGAACGCCGGATATCTACAGCGGAGGGGACTGAAGAACGATGCTGTTCCTACTTTGTTTGGATCAGCGGGAGATTCGGGTACACAACCTGTAAGTATTCATGATGTTTAAAACAAACGAGTTATCTACCACGACTGTTTAAATGGGTAAACGTTTTTCGGGCTACTACGTTGGGATCACGGAGAAATGCTCTCCGCAGACCCATTCTCACAGCATTATAAACCTTTTTCTTACTCAATATCAAGCCACACTCATTGTTTTTACTTCGGCTTTGAGTGTTTGTGTGTGATGAATTTTGCTTGTTCTCGCTGTATCGCCGAGAGGCTCGTTGCTGCGATCTGCTGCGAGGAGTGGACAGGCTTCCACTCCTCGCAGCAGATCGCAGCAACAAGCCTCTCAACGTCCCGACCCATCAGGGCACACTGGGTTGACAGGGAGGGGGGGCTGAAGCTCCAACAAGCCGTCTAGGGCAGAAAGTGAATACCGGTGAATACACATACTTTACAGAGATGCTGTATGAGAAACCAATGTGAGTTTGGAAAATTGCACAGTATAAATCTATTCTAGTAGACCTCAACAATGGAATTATGATCGGTAGAAATGGCCATGACATGGGACCTTTAACACTGTGTTTCAGCGCTTGTTACACATTTCCATCTGAAGTCTGCTGATATTTGATTTATTCTTCATTTGGAAACAGCAAATGAAAAACATAACTATGCTCTTTGAGAATCCTTCAAATTATATTTTGTATTCATATTCAACTACCATCCAATTGGGTGAACACTTTGTGAGGGCTACAAGCCTCACAAACGAACACACATCCTAAAGGTTATGCTTTTGTTTACATCAGACATACACAGACGCAGATTTGAAACAGCTTTATTTTTGCTAGATTGAGTGCACGCTTGTTTAAAATATCTATTGTTAATTGTGTTGTGTGTAATCCTATTGTCAGTGTCTTACAGCTCAGCTTGCTCCTGACAAAAGGCTGAGCTGATGGAAAACACCTGCCTTTATAGATGTGTCAGTTAATTGGACTACGCCATTCCTCTCAAACCCTGAGGGGTGTTTAAAGAGGCCACTCCATTTAAGCTACCCCTTTTTAGAGCCTCTTCCCCCTGCACGCAACAATGGACTGGCCAGTAGGGCTATAAATTCCTGCAGTGTGGAGATGAGGGGAGGTATGTGAGTTGCTCTTGGGCAGAAGAGCACACAGGATGTCACCCATTTTTGTGACGTTTTGTTTATGCATTAAATGCTAGATTGTGTCTGTTTATATCTACACCTTTTTGTTTAAACCTAATTGATTTTATTACCCATCTTAAAACTGTACATATATTGGGTAAATAAAATCCTTATTTTTGCACCTCAACCTGCATTCCTGATTTTTGCGTACCCTGGTCCTTCACACACTTATGGCGCGTTTCCACTGCAGCGGGTAGCTCGCTTTAAGCGTGCCGAGCCGTGCGGGGCCCGTTTTTGGTTGCGTTTCCACTTGGCCTAGTTTTGGCCCGGGGCTACTTTTTCACCTTTTTTCTGGCCCGACTAAATCGTGGTTCTAGGGCCAGGAACAACCAGGCTGAGTCGGGCTGAGTATGCTAAACTAGAGAGAGAATCGCTGGCAAGGGGGCTACAACTACAACAAGATGAACATATTTGACCGTGATTTAATTGCAATACACGTTTAAAAATGATGCCGAAGTGACAACATACTGATACCGGTTAGTAAAAACCATGAATTAATGCTTTGACAAGTCTGCAGACAGACGGCAGGCGAAAAACCCTTTTAAAATGCGTGTTTTCTAAATGTAGCTTGGCTAAGCTAACGTTATATATGCTCCGACCGTCCACATTCACAACAACGGCCTATACAGACATAAATAAACCAGCGACTGTATTCGCCATAACACAGGCAGTCTGTGGTTTGTACTTGTTTAACTTTTGTCTAGTTTCTGAACAGATATGAGGAGCTGTGAGCTCTGAGTGCTAAGAGCTAACGGCTGTGTTTTTTTTCTGGGGCTCTCATTGAAGATGACGTCACGGCTCCGCCTATACTGCGTTACTATAGTAACTACCCCAGTTCCTAAACTGTAATGGAAGCGCAGCATTAAAGTGAGCCGGGCCTAATAAGGTCTAACCAAACCGAGCTAGGCCGAGCGAGGCCTGCAGTGGAAACGCGCCATTAATGAATCAACCAGGCTAGGCTTAGCTACCGTTGTAGCTACTCCGTCCACACTGAAAACATAGGCAGAACTCTGGCTGAACTGAGGTTATCATATATGTTGCCATGCCAACATGGTAGCAAGTATCCAAAGCAGAACAACGGCTGACATTAGCCCCTCACACACAGCAGCTGGTTTAGCTAGCATTAGTATTATGAGTGGGCAAAGCAAAAGGTACATGGAAGAGATTTGTATACCTCTGCAGCAGCAGGACAGCACACATGCTTTAGTTTTTCCCATGCTGAAAGAACACAAAGATTACAAATAATAAGAATGAATGCTCTTGCAGTAGAGCTATAGCTACAACTGAGGTAACACTCTCTCAGAGGGCCATACTAAGGGTCAAAGCATAACAAGATACTGAACTGACATCAGAAATGGAAAGGAGAAAGGAGGGGCATGGAAATAGGAATCATCCATCTATGGCTGTGGCTTCCTGCCAGAAGATGAACAGATAGCCCCTAGGTTAAAAGAGGAAGTGGTTGTAACCCACCCAGATCCCTGCCTTCTCCTCATCACACACTGAATACATCCAACAACATGGCTTCCCTCCAAACACACACACTCCTCCACTTAGACGTATTAACAGCTGAAAGATTTACACTCTACAAGCATCTGTGCTCCTTTGCTTGAAGAGAGGAACGGAGAGGCATCCCTGTTGGCCTCCCATCCCCCCCCTCCTCCTCCTCCTCCTCCTCCTCCTCCTCCTCCTCGGTCTGTGTGAGGCTGCAGCATCCTTCACTAAAGGCATAACAACAGTGGGAGAAAAGGAGGGATTCCTCCAGCTTTACCTTCAATGTAGGGAGAGATGTGGCTGTGATTCAGCTCAGATGGTGCTGCTCCTCAGCCTCGGCTAACAACATCATGTGACCAGGCACCATCTGCTCCTGCTGCCGGTCACATGACCAGATTAGTCCCCGGCAAGGATCTCTGGGATTTGTAGTTGAGGGGACGTCAATGACATGATTTAATTCTGCACTGAAAAAACTGAAACATTGACTTTAAATCAATATATTATGTCAACAGATTTCACATAACTGTATTAGGTTAGTATAAAAAATAGAAAAATTATATTTGTGGACGTAATACATTTAATTAAGGTCAACATTTCAGTTTTTTTATTGTAGATAATAATAATAATAATAATAATAATTCCTTACATTTATTATAGCGCTTTTCCAGATGCTCAGTGCGCTTTACAAATACACATTACACATACCCTGTGTGATGATTTAAATGCAAAACTAATTAAAAATGAGAGATGTGAATGAATTAAACCTTAAATATATCTTAGATTTAGATTTCTACCAAATATTTCAACATATTATAATACAGTTCATTTAAATGTATTCAAAAAAAGTGCAGCCATGATCAACAGGTCATTCAAATTCATTTTGGATTGAAGGACTTAAAGACTGATTTTGATCTGTTTTTGCATGATATTACATTATTTTAATAATTCAGTACATGTTTACATGAGGGCTAGACGAGACATATACTGAATATTACAGTAATGTTTCTATGTTTATAGTTGGCTTTTCATTTAACACTCATTATAGGATGACAATATAATATCATTATATAGCACATCACAATATCAATATTACATCATGGCTATTGTGGCACATAAGGAAAGTTAATCAACATCCATCTCAATGTGCTGGTATTAGCCACACGGGTAATGTTCAATAATAGTCTTTCAGCAAATTCTAAAGTTGACAAAAAAAATGAAAAATCAATACAGAATAATATATAACCTAAGAAATTAAGATAGTACACACTGACAAAAAAGACTTTTTGGCATTGTAAATGTTACTTTGATTATATGTTTAAATTCTACAATACATTACTATTTCAGTAATTTTACTCAAAATGTCTCCTTTTATTTAATGTGTTACTTGTGTTTCTATGTAATTTTGAATCTTCATTTTGATAAGTGAATTTTAACAATAGCACTAAGTAAATATTACCTAAATTATTGTATTGACTGTACAACCTGTTAAAGCTATTAAAATGTACATGGGAAATGCGAGTTAACTGTGGGTGACGTCAGAGGAGAGTATTTCCCGCGCACATTGCCCCCGCAGACAAGCACGGACAGTCTACTCAGAAGGTTGACATTTGAGTGGAACTTGAAGACTGCTTGGTCGACCATTTCATTTGAATATTCATCGATGTGGAGTCGTGTGAGTATGTTTATGTGCTTGGTTAACTTGTTACATTCCTATTAGCTTGTCAGCTGAAGTCAGTATTTGGTTATTAAAAATGTAAGGCTAAGTTAGCTAACATTAGCCGACAGAGTAGCTGGCTAACTAGCTCGTTATCATGCTAGCAAACTTAGCCCGGTTTCATGCAAGTTGCACACATCAGATGTAATATATATTTTTTAAAGCCTTATTTGAAGCTTCAAAGTTGTCGACTACGACAACATTTGCCGTTTATAATGGAAACTATGGCACTGGCTCACTTTTTTAAATTTGAATCGTTTTTTATTTCGGGAGAGGGGGGGTGTTCATGGCTCCAGCTCAACAAAATAAATACTCAACAGTATGTGCGACGCTACGTGATGCAGTCAGTTTCACTGCAGCCTAGAGAAGGACAAAGTGGTCAAGGAATATTATATTTGCAATGAAATATGAACTGCGCGATTTAAAAGTGAGTGTGTCTGTGAGTTTGCCTCGACACGTTAAATGAAACGAATGAGTGTGAACGGAAGACTTTTTTGAAAACGCATACTGTGCATAAACGCAAACGTTCCCATGTAGAGGCAGGTCTGTCATTGTATTGAAGGGTTGTATTTTGGATAAAAGTATTATTACGTTATTTTTACTTTACGTATTGATTAGCCTTGAATGCAGTGAAAAGTTGTATGTATACATCAGGGTTTCCGTTAGCCGGTAATTACCGGTTTTTAGCTGGTCAAATTTAATAAAAACCGGTAAATTCAAAACCTGCCGGTCAAAATGTCCGATGCTCCGTCGATCATTATCGGCCGATATTCACTCTTAATAGTTTGAACTGTGCTCTCTATAAAGGCCGATCAGGAGAGCTGGATCTGATCGATATGGACATAAACGCGAGTGAAGTATAACCGAACGGAAGAGAGAGATCAGATCAGCTGCTCCATAATCACCTGAAGCTCCGCCCACTGTTTAGTGAGCTGCATGACAAACTGACGGGCTGTCAGGAGAGAGAGGGAGGGAGAGAGGAAAAGAGAGGATCCGTTTCTCCCGTGTTATTATTCAAAGTTAATGTAAACTTTTGAATAATGTACTTCATCTACTACAAGTAGTTTATTTGAATGTAATAATTATGGTGTTTGTTATTTGCGGAATCATTTATTGAAAAATGAATCTGAATTTTTCCGATCTGTTACGATTATAAACTGAAGCAATATAAAAACGATCCCCATTAACTGAGTTTTAAACATCAGCATATCCGGTCCTAATCCGTAATTACCTGCTAACGGAAACTCTGCTACACAATTCTTATTATTATTATTGAAACATGACCGGTAAGTTTCAAATTTGTCCGGTAAAATTAATTCTGTCCGGACATTTGACCGGCGAGAAAAAATCCTAGCGGAAACCCTGGTATACATGTGTGATAGAATTATTTTTTAAATAACATTTTACATGATAAAAATGGCTCTGAATGTATATTGTTGTGTTCATATTTAAGCAATAAATTGCAAGACAGTAAGTTCTGTAATTTACATAATTAATTTCTAATGTACTTTCTATATATTTCACAGGTTACCAAGGGAAATTGAGTCATTCAGCAATTTCGTCTTCAACAGCTAATGCAGAGTAACTCAACTCAGTACTGTTAGAAGTTTAAGTTGACATATAAATGTTTTTGTAACATGGTTTAGTTTCAAGAGGTTTAAAGATTGAATTCATTTGTGTTTTTTTCAGATTCCACTAGATGGGTGTGCAAAACATGTAGCTTTGAATCTAACAAAAGGACAGGATTGTTAAAGCACTACAGGCTAAAACATGTAAATGGTGGACGCTGCAACTCAGTCCCTTGTCTTTATACAGATTGCCCTTGTTCGTTTAAAACATTTAATGCCCTTCGTGCCCATTTGTCCCGACAGCACACAGAGTCAGTAACACTAGGTCTTTCATTTAATTGTCTACTATGCAATTCTAGTTTTCATTCAGGGAGGATATATCTTGAACATCTTGGTAGGCATTTGAGGAGGTTTTAAGTAGTTGCGTGTGTATTCAAAGATTGCAGCTTCAGTACAAACATATATTCAACCTTTGTTACTCATAGACACAGGAAACATTCTCAACATGGCCCTGAACACTTTAAAACTGAGGTATTGAAAAGATACCCTGATCCCACTGTTGCTCAGGATGAGTCTCTGTTTACGGAGGATGAGGATGATGGCCCTGAGTATTTTGTTGAGGAAGCAGAGGATTTATCTCAGGTTATAAAGGAGAAGTTTGGCCACCTCTTACTAAAACTAGAGAGCACTTTCAATGTTCCAAACAAGTGTATTGACACAATTGTAGATGAGCTACAGTTCATATCCTGCTCTGCATCTGGTCCAGTTTTAAGAGATGTGATTGAGTCCACTTTAAAAAGCCATAACTGTGATTTGGATGAAGCTGTAATCTCAGATTTGGTGAAAAATCTCTGTGAGTCACACCCTATAAGTTCCGTTTTGGGAACAGATGGACCTTTTACTACTTCGTACAAGAGAAGAGAATTTATGAAGAAACATTTTTCCGTTGTTGAACCAAAAGAGTACATACTGGATAAGAGAGAGGGTAAAACATTCCAGTATGTACCTATATTGCAGTCCTTGTTGCAGTTATTAAACAATAAGAATATCCAAGAAAAGGCACTAGGTAGTGAAAGAAACTCTGAAAGTACTTCACAATATCTGTCCTTTCATGATGGATCTCACTATCAGAAAAATGATTTTTTTCTCTGCAGAGGAGGACAGAATTACTATCATTCTGTACATTGATGACTTTGAGGTATGTAATCCTCTTGGGACTTCCCGAAAAAAGCACAAAGTCACGGCTGTGTATTGGGTGCTGGGAGACATTCCAGCACAGTCACGATCAACGTTGGACTCTATTTATTTAGCTATTCTGTGTAAGGCACAGGACACTAAGCAGTTTGGATTCCAGAGAGTTTTAGAGCCACTTTGAACCGATCTGAAAAGCTTGGAGAAAGATGGTCTTTTTGTTACAGCTTTGGGAAAAGTCATCAGAGGGACTGTGGTGAGTGTGGTGGCAGATAATTTGGGTGCCCATTCTGTAGCAGGATTTGTCGAAAGCTTTATGTCTTCTCATGTCTGTCGGTTTTGTCTCGGGGAGCGGTCCGACTTTCAGTCTAAAGAAGTAAGATCTGGCTTTTTCCAACAAAGAACTAAAGAGCAACATGAGCTGCATGTTCATACAGCTTTGTCTAGTCTGAATCACACTCATTGCAATGGTGTGAAAAAAAGGTGTGCACTATCTGAAACACTTAACCATTTCCATGTAACATCTGGTTACCCTCCAGATGTTTTACATGATCTTCTTGAGGGCATTGTTCCAGTGGAGTTGGCATTGTCATTTGAAATCTTGATCAAGAAGAAATATTTTTCTCTCATGGAACTCAATGACTCCATTCGACAGTTCCCATTTAAATGGAGCGATAAAACAAATCGCCCTCATCTTGTCCCTGGTAACTTTGCCAAACGAAGATCAGTGGGAGGCAATGCCCATGAAAACTGGTGTTTGCTGCGTTTGCTTCCTCTGATAATAGGTTTAAAAGTACCGGAACATGAGCCAGTGTGGCAGATGCTGATGATCTTGAAAGACATAGTGGACCTTGTGATGTCCCTAGTCCATA